AATTTTATTTTAAAATGTCTACAAAAATAAGATTAGATAAGATAAAAGAATCATTAAATAAATACTTATTCAACAAGAAATTCTTTTAGTTAAATGAGAGCAGATTCATTTGAACATTATTTCAAATTGCATTTAAAAACAACCTATTTACCTCAAAATAAGACAGATAAATAAGATCTTTCTAAATATCTCATTTGAGAAATACAAGTTAAATTAAACCTAGTCGGTTAGGATTTATTTGTCATTCAAAAATTGATCACAGAAACATTAAACGTTTTGAGTTTCAAGTATAGTCCTTTAACAAATGTTAAAAAACTGTTAAAGAATCAGAAGCCACGAACAAGAGTAGGGCACACAGAAAATCTGATGAAAGACTGGAACATTTTTAGGAGACATCAGATAAAAGACAAAAAACACAAATTCAACAGGCAAAACTTTCAGAGAGGCCTAAATTGTCACAGGCCACTGCAGTATGGCAGGAGAATCAATAAGAAAGAAATAATGATACATGTGAAGATGAAGAGAGTAGTGACAAAAGCCAATATGATGATTTCAAGAAACAAGAAAATAGTGATAATTCAGGCAATATATTTTAACAATAACACAATTTTCAAATCAATTAGACAATTTGCAATTTGATTTAGACTGAACAGTCAGAATTAGTTAAATAAATAATCAGCAGACATTTTCAAAATTAGAGATTCATCTTCTATTCAGAGTAGACTTACATTTGGGTAAATATGGTAATAATTGCCATACAATACAATGACTGTGATAGATATATTGATCATGTTTTTCCATTCAGTTCAAGATTCTCCCCAACAACATACTCTAAGAAACAAAAACTATACACAATACTTTTTGCACAGATAAATCTGGGCCTTCCTTGTCTGTGCATATTTGGTAACAGAATCAAGATAAAAACAGCAACATACTCCAAGCAGCAACTTTAAACAAAGAGTGCAATGCCACAATATTTGGCCGTTGCCAAGCGTGTGGTTGTACCTGGCAAGCGCGAGCCAGAGATCCACACTTGTTGGGCAGCACTCTACAGCTCGGCTCAGCAGGATACGTGCATCTTCCGGGTCCTCCAATTCCACTCCGGCCTTCCACAGACGCACAGAATTTGGAATATGCTCCAGAGCCTGGGGACAAGCAACCATAACATGCACTTGTCAGATCTCTGGTATATTAATATGGAAGTGTGATAGCTAGGGGGCGGATTTTGATGACCTAAAACATCGCCAAAAAAATGATGAATAAAATGCTCTTAAAAGGTTTTTAAAATGCTCTAAAAACAAAGAAATATGAAGTAAAAAAATTTATTGAAAACAGTTTAGATGAACAACTCAAGCTGTTGGTTACTTTACTAACTATTTCTTTATAGAAAAGTATTAGAACCAGCTATTTCTTTTCGATTCTTAACAAATCTGTAAAAATACCATTATTTCATTAACATTCCCAAAATAGTTCAGCAGAAAATAAAACTGTGTTGCTTTTATCATGCGAGGTGTAATAGTTTACATAAAATATAACAATTATTTTAGTATTAAACATCTTTTGAAAGTACGTATTTCTTCATTTGCGTGTTTTATTCTATTTTACATGAATTACTTTGATAAGTAAGAAATTAATAAAAACTTGTTTTGGATAAAGACTTGTAACTTCAATAAACGCAATCAAATTAAATAAGGTTTCACTGTAATCTCGTATGTTTCTTCAAAGAGCAATATATGTTCAACCTTAGAGTCTTCAATTCACTGTGCTCTATGAATTGAAGTGATGTCTTATTTTACGTGGCAAGACTCGGGTCTTGAGGTTTGCTCTTCAGTTTGACCACACAAATTTCGCTACTCTATTTTCACCAACTTGCAGAGAAAGGAGATATTTCTTGAGCGGTGAAACAGGTGATATGAATTGAGCTCAGAGGCTTCATTTAAGTTTGAGGATCTTTTACATGCAGTAAACCTACAAACATGGGACAGCCAGCTTTACTTCCTCTCCGAACGGAGGCACATGAGGGATTTTTTCACCCTTAAAATCCCCGGCTTCCATCGGGTTCGAACCCGCGAACTTGAGTATAACAGCCTGAAACGCCAACTGCTACACCATTGCTGCCGCTTGTTCAAACATTTAAGCATTTTGAACACCCATAAAAGATAACTGACTACCCGAGACCAGAGAAACCTTGGTGAATCAGAAAATATCTAACAGAACAGTTAATTTTAACAACTCATTTATTAATGTCTCTTTTCCTGTATGTTGGTGAAACTGTCCCTTAGACTACTAAATAAACATTAGAAATATCATATATACTAGAATATAACCCACTCTTGAATATTACCCACACCCTAATTTTCTGGTAAGGAATCTTGGGGGGAAAAAAAGAAAAAAAGAACAAACCAAGTTTTTTTCACTTATATTGCAAACATTTTTGTCCTCAAAAGGTCCACCGATTAACACTGGCTAGAGTGCAAGTTTTATAAAGCTGAGCCTTAGGGACCATCTTCAGTGGCATTACGTCAGGCATTTCGCATCTTCCCTGGTCATGCCACTAATGATAACTGACTACCCGAGATCAGAGAAACCTCAGTGAATCAGAAAATATCTAACAGAATGAATGGAATGGGGATGCCAAAAATGTCATGACTGTATTACGCTGTACTTGATACGGTCGCAATCATGCGAGTTTAGCAGCACGCCAAGAAAGATGCAAAATGCCTTGAGATATTGCATCGTAAAGATAGGCCCTCCCACACCAAGAAATAAAAACGCAAGTATAACCCACGCCGCCATATCACCACATGCAACATGCTTCAAGTTCGCGGTATGAACATTGACTCAAATATGACCCGCACCCCAATATTCAGCAGCCAATTTTTGAAAAAATATGCGGTTTATATTCAAGTGTATACTGTAATTTGAAAAAGGAACAAGAAATTAACAGTTGGTTCAGCAGGCTTAAAATTTGATATTGTATGACTGGATCCAGGAGTCAGGAGTATTCTCAATGTCTATTACAAGTATTTTGCATTTAAGGCAATTTAATCAAAAAGAATTAAATATCTAGCAATTAAAATTATCTGACATTTACTTTTTTAAACATTTTTTTCATAACAATTTCAGCATTAAAAATGTAGAATTGGTGGTGCAAGCACAAGAACAACCCAACTTTACATATGGTTAACTTTTTCTTAATAAAATAATGCTAAAGTAGGGATATACATTGTTTTTCTAATTATTTGTGTTTATATAATGTTTATATAATATTCTAAGGGTCAGTTTCACCAACATACACCTGAAAGTGACATTGATAGAACTTGTATAGATTTTGTTTCGTATATTTGTGAATATCAGTTGTAAATGAAAGTTGTGATAATTTTGAGAGACTTTGAACATTTTATTTTATTCTGTTTTTATTTATGATGATGTGATGTGAAAGTCTATATTGTATAATTTTGAAGAGTTGTGATGAGATTTTTGGTTTTGAAGGTATATGAAATAACCTTACATTAGGTGGTTGCCTGTTTGATAAATTAAATATGTGACTTTATGTAAGAGACCAGGCATGTCAGCTCTGTCTCTCAAGGGTTAAAATAAAATTTTAATGCCTTTTCTGTATCCCTCACTACCTACATACATGAAGTGCTAACGCCATATCACTTACAGGCATTATTCAATGTACATCAAATTTTAAAACTTAAAAACTTACCTTGCGATACACTTTTCGCTTTGCCTTTTGTTCAGACTCCAAATCTGCAGCTTTGATCCAAATGCGCACAGATGTGGGAATGTGTCTCACAGCTTGCGCAATGACAGCTCGAGCTGTGTCAGGCGGTTGCAAGCGAGCTGCTTCCAGCCACAAATCTTCTGATTTGGGGTTCACCTGGCCACATACAACACACAATTTATCTTGACTGTCTGCACACCATGGCAGAGAAAATCAACAGAAAGACAAAGAACTTCATTAGTGAATTTCTCAAAACCTTCCCCTGCAAGAAGATATTTCATACCATTAGCAACATAACAACAAGATCATCGTAAGAAAATATTTTCGATGATAAAAATCATCTAGCATTCTTCAATATGAATGCAAACTATCTTACTTCCATTTCATCTCTAAACACCGACAAAAGCATGAAAAAGTAATATCACTACGCCTTTAGCCCCTTCAACTTACACTTATACACTACAAATTAATTTCAAGTTTACACTCTCAGCCATTTACAGAAATAACTCAAATATGCAAGTATCTACAATAAATTTTTTTCTCCACCAGTTTTTTCATTCTTCTTCTTTCTTTCTCCCTTAAAATTATCAACTCATTAGCCTGTGAATTTCTGAATCATTAATCAGGGAATTTCTCAACCCTAAAGTAGCTTCCCAATGGGGAGAATAGGAAATGAATTTGTTAAGAATATGCATTCACTCCTCACATAAAATACAGTATGGTCAGGAAGAATCATCTCATATTGCCCAATAAAGTAATACATTGACACATCGAGTCATCCTACCATATACAATAATATACTGATACAATGTGGATTTATCACAACCCATTCTCATTTATCAATTTATTTGTAAACTGCATTTATCATAATGCCCTAAGCCAGAGTTTTGAAAGGAAGAATGTAACAAACTCATCAAAGAACTAATACAAAGAAATTTCTAATCCTGAGTCATGTCAAGCTTGGTTAACCCTTTCAGTTACACTATAGCCATATCATTTCGTGACTTATTTTAATAATTTAACAAATAGATCAGGGATATATACTTGCTCTCTGAATTTCTGTACATTCACATGTTATTTGCGATATATATTGCAGGCTCCAACTTTTTGTTAAACTTCTCAGCGCTGGTAAATTTCTGAGATAAATGTATATTCCGTTTCGAAAAATAGGGTTTGTTTACAGTACAGATGATCATACTATAAGGATTTATGTAAAAGCTTGGAAAATATTTGAATAAGAAATGAGTTGATGCCGTAAGACTAGAGCATTCATAACTTAGAAATGGATTGTATATATCGTAAATGCGTTTACAAGTTTACATAAACCTAAATTGAAGCAAAGATTTTTTTCTATAATAGAAGCATGAATCAACGTATGAATGTAAAATACATCCAGGAACTTGATATCTTCTTTGATTAAGCAACGAGTAACACATCAGTAATCTGTTTTCGGTTCAAGATGATAAAGCTGTTATTTCTAGAAAAATATTGCCGTATTCTGTGCAGATACTGAATGAAGATAATGAAATTCTTTAATGAACAATGGCAAACAACATAATCGAAGGATAACATTTTCAAAAAACAAAAAAATAGGAAATGTTTACCATATTTCAGATTAAAACAAATATAAACTCAAAGGTTGAACATATTTTAAATCCATTTTTGACCTAGCGAAAGAGAATTTAAAAACACAGAAATGGTATTGTTTCAAAAAAATAAATTAATTCTGATAAAGTTTGTTGATAAAGAAATCAGCGACTCCCAGGTGCACCCAAACCATTTAAAACAAGTCTTCTGATGTTCCCCTTTATCAATTTTATGTCACAAATATTTTGTTACTTCATAATAAATAATTTGGGATTGAAAGGGTTAATCAATCAAATTAATTCCACAATACAACAATTTTCTCTTGAAAATGTGTATGCTGTTCTGAAAAATGTTATAAGCAAGAATAGACACTTATGATCATTACTTTTTCTTATTTAAATTGATAATAAACAAAATATGATTTCAAATGTATATCAATTGCACATTTCATTACAAATAAACTTGCATTGACTTAAGAATTTAGATAGTATTTCCACCGCCACGAACCCTGGAATATGGATGTGATAAATCTAGTGAACCAGGGAATACAATGGAAAAGTATGTCAATAGATGCTTCCTTGAAAGGAAGAGTACATCCAATATTCGAAAGTTACATCTGTTAAAGAGACACAAAAATGAATTGGAAAATATTGGCCTCAATTTTTAATTAATTTTACTCACAAGCTACTGATATTTGTAGTATCAATTTAACTTTAAATAACATAATAGACATAAATTATTATAATATTCCTCTGACAAAAACTATCATAACCTGCCTACCCAATAAACTGTTGCAGTTCTTTCTTTTTGCGAAGAAAGTGGAGGTTTGGAACACATTTCAACTTTTCATATTCTTTTGAGGTTTTCTGTCGAACATTATGGAGGCCCCTAGTGATTGAAAAAAGTGAAAGGAAAAAAAGAGGAAAAAATATAAAGATTAAAAGAACAAAGTATTTGCATTAATAAATTGTAAATTACAAGTTTTTCTAAATTATTTGTAAAAATTATGTAAGCAAATTAGATTGTAATAATCAATATTGAAGACTGTATTTCATTTTGCAATTGATTTTGGTGAGTATGACAACTTTTCAAACATTGATTTTCTTTTAAATGGTTGTGGCAACTCATTCTTTGGGAGGGAGTTAAAAATTGGGTTTTAATTAACACTGAGATACTATGATTATTAGTATTAATTTTGCTATGTATTTCTAATTACCTCACATCCTTTCATAATCAAGTTTCTTGCTGCCTGTACTTTGCCTGTCACTTCCTCCAAACGAGCTGATGCAATCCATGCAGGCGGATGGTTTGGGTTAGTCTCTCGCACTGATTTCAACAGCAAACGAGCCTTCTTGATGTCACTGAAATTACAAGAATAACATTTAATACAGAAATCCTTACATTCAAAGTACACTAGGACAAAGTTAAGGTTTCCTCAATGCAATTATGCAAGTTTATTAAGATTGATGGCATTTCCAAAAATACCAGAATGACAGAAGCAGGCATTCTTCTTAGTAACTATATTAGAAAGTCATATTTCTTACACTTTGCAAATTGTAACTGAAAGTTTTATTACCAAATATATTATTTAATAACATTGTGAAGCTGAAGGCTTATGTGGAGTCAACCGAATCTTGGATGTCCGTATGGTAAATTAACTTTGCGCACTAGGAGATCATAGTAAAATAACCAAAACTTCAGAAACTTAAAAGAAACCTAGCCTAGGCTGTGGCATCTTTAAGGGAGATTCTAGCAACAAAATAAAATATAGATATATAGCTTGCTAAGAGAGAGATGTTAAGGGTTCTACTTGTTCTAATGCTCGGTGGCAAATAATATTAGAAAATACAAAAATTAATTATATTTTACATTTGCCAAATGTTAATTTTCTGAATAAATTAAGTATTAGACTACAAAGAAAATAACTGACCCAGCTGATTCTGGAACTAGCAATGTTTACATCTGCTATACAATTGTTTCATAACATATTGTGGCATCGTGCAGGGTGCAATAATACACAGGCGAGAACGGGTTGAACTTATTGCTAGTTTATTTACTAATCCTCCACCAAAATAAACTTGAATTACAATTGTTCATAAACGAAATAAATCGACCCTACTACTACGAGCAAATCTCATTCAATGGCTACCACACCCTCTACTTAAATATTGAATAAACCCAATCAGGTGAAGCACCACAGAATTCCTACACGACTCGTCACATGAGTCTCTTCTTCACAACAACGTACATTGCCGGCCCTTGCCTACGCGCTTGCTGGCGCACCCTACCCAGCGCGCTGCCTCTAATCCGAACAGCGCGGCTCCTCGAAGAACAAAAGGGCCCTTCAAACACCACCGCCGCCCAGCTTGGTTTGCCACGTCTTCCCCCCATTCTCTGGGCCTCTACATCATGTCACATCCTGACGTCCCACCCCCAACCCATGCGGCCTGCCACGTGGAGGACTCTGGCCACTTGGCCATGGCCACTTGTTTGTGCACAACACCACAATATAGTTCCTAATACTTCTAACCAGTTTTGTCATTGAATTTTATGACCGCTAGTGCCAGTTAGAATCGAAGAAGAAAAGTGAAAAATGTTTCATTAAGGATCAACTTTAATGAGATTAAATTTGAAAAATCAAGAAATTGCTTAGAAAAAAGAGAGAACTTCTAAATTATGAACCAGAACAATGTTCGTGATAAGCTGACTGCCCAATCCTCTAATTTGTAACACTACTTCTTCTCCAATCAAATTATTTTTTGTTGTTGAATACACTAAATTGTATTATGAGGGGCTTTATTTCTGACCATTGCTCAAATACAAACAAACTTACTTGATATCACCCCCGTAAGTTGGAATCATGCTCTGCAAATCCGTGAGGTAGCCTTTGGGGTCGACAACAGTCTGTCCCTCCACAGAATCAGAAACCTGACTCAGTTTCACATTCATCAGAGTGTTGCGAGCCTGGCCAATCTTGCACAAGTCCAAGTCTCCAGTAGGTGTGAGCATTCCTGCAAACACAGAACCAAACACAATAAACCAGGGTTGTCCAACTGGTGGTCTGTGTGGCCGTTTATTGTGGCCTGCAAAACGTCATTAGTCAAAAGTGAAAGTTCCTTGCATCTATGTCAGGCAAGAACAAAGGTTGTTTAGATTTAAGATTTTTTTACTCTTGAATTCAGGAATTCATAATCCCATAGTGATTCCCTTGGGATTATGATGAATTCAGGAATTCATAATCCCATAGTCCCTATCTTTTTATAGTTATATGTAAAATAATTTTGTTTTTAACAAACTTTCAACTTTCCCCGAATCTCAAAAATTATGCCAAAGTTTTATCCTTATTTCTTTAAAAATAAAACTGAAATATGTGTGTTAATATTATTCAAATGATTCTATCAAAGTAGCCATTTTCCCATAACGAATGTGATTGATGGAGCTTACGCATCTTTGAAAGAAAGAAGTCATGCGGTTGAATATTGACTGTAATCTTTTCCATCAAGAAAGCAAATTACAATAACAAAAGATTATTGAAGCCAATTCAAAAATTTTGGTTAGCTAAATTATAAAAAACCTGCAAATTAAATGATTTATTTCTTTTTCAAATTACTGCAGAAGTAATGTAGATCTTCCAACGCATATACAGTAGTGGGTGTTTTTAAAAATTGATTTTGCTGTAAGTTTGTGAAGTCACACAATTTAAGAATTTAGATCTAAACAGTATTCATACCTGGCGTTGCAAATCCTGACGATCCAGCCGGGA